GTTTGAGGCAGATGTCAAACAAAAGCTTACCTACCTTTGATCATGTTTGCAATAGGAAGCCATTTCTTTTTTAAAGGATCATAGAACTCTGCTTCTTGCACTGGAGCTCCCTTTCGGTAACCACCCAACGCGTAGATGCAGCCACTCAAGCAAACTGCGCAGTGGTAATACCTTGCGTCAAGCATGGGGCAGCCTTCTGTCCATTCATCTCTCTCGCTATTATATATCCATACGGTGTCAAGGGCTTCGATGCTTTCTGTTCTATAACCTCCTGTCACATATATGTCTGGCCCCAAGCTAGTGACCCCATAGCTCTCTCTGGTGTGATCTGGCATCTCTGCTCCCTGGACCCATGCGTTGGTTAAAGGGTCCCAAACATGCACTTCTGATAAGGGATGCCAATAATATCCTCCGATCACATACATGGCTGCTGTGGGTCTTCTGGAAAGACTTTTGGGATTGAGGTTCAGGGCACTGTATATGAGTGACCTTATCTTGTTGTCATTAAGTCGGCATTTTTTTTGTAGGCTTAAAGCTGACCTCAAATACATGCTGTCTAAGTCCACTTTGATGCAGCTCAGCAGTTCATAGACGTCTTCAATTCTTTCTTCCACGTTGTGTGCAACCCACTTAACGACAGCTTCAACAGCTGCCTCTTCTTTCCAAACATTGAGATTCTCCCTGGAGAGAATGTAAGAGAGCTTCTCCTTGCCAATGTCCAGAAACTCTTCTTGCTTCCACACTTCTTCAAACTGCCATAACAATATCCTCCTGGACTCTTTTTCTAGCTCCGAGCAATCATGATATTCGGCAAAGGAGTGCATCCCTATGCAGTTGTCAGTATCTAAGTGCCTCACCAGAAACTGCTCACAGGCTTTCTTTACTGACAGGAACTGGAGGAGGTCTGCAGCCTGGAGCAGGCTTTGGACGTTACTCTTTGTTATCTGGATCTGTGATGTGTATGCATAATTCACGAGGGCTTCCAGTACGGCATGGCTGAGCCCGGGAAGTCTGATCTGGTTTTTAGATTTCTCTTTCATATCGGCCGTGAACATGGCTTTAAAATAACTGCTGCAAGCCGCTAA